TGAGGAATGAGAAAACTAACGTTTAAAGGCGTGATTTGTCAATATACAGTCTCCAAGATTTCATAGAATACATTTTAGTATAAATTCTGACAGGGAAGGTTTCCTGGAGAAGGAAATTCTCAGTGTGGGAAAAACTTGGGTAGGAAAATCAAAGAGGGAAGAATCCAAGAAAGAAAGCAGCACAAGTTGTAGAAGGAAATGATAAATGATAGGCAGCACAGAGGAAAGACCCTCAGTTCCAGATGTTTTCTGGAAACTCACATGCTCTCATATCTCTAAATGATGTTCACATTTTATACTTTAACCAGCCTCATTCTCCTAATTTTTTTTCTGTTTATTGTCTAGACATTAAAATTCACAGGGGTATGCAACACTTAACTTTTGAAATAAAGTCATGGCTCGTAATCTAAAATCATTCAAGTGAGGCTGAATATTTCATTTGACCAATTATTCCTAAAGAGCTGACATTATTTGTAGCAATGTAAATTCCCATTTTTAAATTGATCCTGATTGAGTGATGATCTCTCTTTTCTGTTGGTATTTCTTTCTATTAAATGGCGATATTATTTACTACTTCAGCCAGAAGTCTGCATGGGACCTATCACCAAGAGCTAGTTTTTCCTGGGCTTTATGGTAAAACAACTGTTAACTTTTCTAAGCATTACATTAGCAAGGTCACAACCCGTTAATATTTTATGCCCAAACAATAGGTACATTGTTGAGCATCGGAAGTGAATAACTTAGTTCAGCACCAGTAATAAGGCAAAGCTGATACACAGACTCTTAACCTATCAATATTAGTTATCATTGCTCGCCAAATGACTACATTCTACTTTTGGAAACTCATTTTCATCTTCTTCCACTCTTTTGTCTTTCTCTGTGAGACAAGTAACATCCATTGTGTGTGTTTTAATTAATTTATATACTCATTTAATTAACTGGCATCCACACATGCGGAATAAAGAAGTGAATGTACTTGGTGTACTCACCCTCACATCCATTTACCAGCAATGCACACACAGTACATGAATGACGCATCATTGATCTTTGCTGATAACAGGGACACGCCTACTGGCTAGACTATGTATTCTCCATGAACAATATTTAAAGAATGGTGCTCCGTATTGCTTGTAAACATATAGACATGGAAATCAGGAAATCAGTGGATACGAAGGTCATTTGCTAATCTTGGTACCACATAGCTAAAATGGCAATTGTATTGATAAACATCTCATGGGCATGGTAGTTGACAGAAAATTCCCTAATGGGTTTCACTAACAGACTAAGGACATGCACTGATTACAGGACTCTGTCCCAGCGGACTCTAGGACCAAATGGTCTAATCGTCTTCGTCTTCCTCATCGTTGTCCTTCATGCTGATCCCCTGTAGTCCCCCACCTTCGATCACTGATGCTGTGGCTTCCTCCACAGTGAGACGGTCCTGGATCATTTCATAGGTCTTGCTGTTTAAAGTGGAGTCCAGGACCCCTTGCAATTGGAAATCTCTGTAGGTTTTCTTTACTATCCTAATTAGTGTTTTCAGCTGATAAATGTGAAGCTGTAAGTCCATCCGGTCTGTCAACCAGGTGCAGCTCATGTTCATGGAGCTGTTGTATCATTGATCAAATAACCTTTCTATGTACATTTCCTCATTGACCTTATCTCACAGGACATCCTGAGAATGGCGGATGAAAGTCACATAGGTGTCGGTCACATCCATCCTGGGTTTAGGTACATCCACATATTTGGAAGGTGGCTTCACAGTAAATGACAGAAAAGAAGAAAACAAAGTCCCTTCATCATATCTGGATAATTTTACCAGCACTCCTTCCAAGATAGTAACAAACTTTGCAACCAAGTGTGTTATCATTTCTTTAACAGCTTCTTCAATTAGTTCATCTATTTTTGAATGCTATTGATGCTCTTGGCCCATTTCCATGCTGCAAAGTTTTGTTGATTGAGCTTTGGCATCAACTATAACATTAAACATGGTGCCTATTGACTGTGGGACTCGAAAATCTGTTGATTGACTGGTTTTTTGCAGCTTAACTTCAAATGTAATCCTGGTCTTTTGACACAAGATTCGATCACGTCACTTGCCATCAACTTCAGCCGTTGTTCCAGGTGCTTTCCAAACTCTTCTTCAGGCCAGTGCAAGTCCCAAATGAAGGTCTGAAATGCATCAAGTTTCCAGAACAGATCCTCTGAGGTGCCCGACCCATTACTGACTGCTTTCCATGACTTCCGCTCAAAGCCCCTGTGAATGGATTGTGTAGTTGAGGACTCCATCAGATCCACATATCTAACAACAAGCGGGGCAAACAGGTCTTGCGGGTGTTCTGGAAATTTTCCATTGCACAAATGATAGTCAGTATGGAGAAAATCATTCAGCAGCTGAAACAGTGGAAAACTGTCCCATGTGTCTGGGGGTTGCACCTCTAAGGCTGCATCCATGTCTACCACAAAGAGTGCCAGGAACATCTCCACATGCTCCACCATTAAATCTGACCACCACGCAAAGGCCTCGGCATGGTGCTCCTCATTTTGCTGAAGAACTTCAATGGCTAGTTCAGCAAGACTATCAATGACTATCTTCAAGCTCTTTGGCAGGAGTGATTAATTGACCTACATTTTGAATGGTTAAATCCATCACTTGGGAGGCCAAGCAGAAGACAGGATGCTCATACATTTCTCTCTTTTTCCCTTTGATTTCGGCATACTCTGAGAGCCGAGAATAGTTGACTAATGCAGCCTGTTCCAGACATTTACAGACGACTGTTTTTACCTCCTCTTGTGGCACTGGGGTAGCAATATCTTTCATCAAAACCCTTTCCAAGAGTGAGAGAGTAGCTTTCAAAGCACCTTCAGGTCGACCAAATGGAAAGGAATACCTAAAATGTGTAATCTGATTTTCCAACAGAACTTGGAGTCTCTCTTTGATTTCTTCAAAGCACTCCTTTTCTTCAATGCTCACAGTTCCGGTTCCATCAGGCCTTTTCTGCTCTGGATTTGCCTGGGTTTTGGAGTCTTTTCTTTTTTTGATTCCTTTTTGGTATCCTTTTTAGCCTCTGGTTCAGGTGGGGAGGGAGTTTCGCTCCCTTCAGGGTCTGTATTTGGTGGCAGCCCAGTAAGGTATGCATGCATTTGTTGACTGTTCCCATGGACATGGGAAGCACTGAAGGCAAAGCTGTAGTGAAGAAGGGTGGGGTCGATCATGGTACCATTTTCTGCCTGTTCAAGCAAGTCTCTGAGGTAGCAGAGATGTCAGTGACGCCCCCGGACTCCACTCCATTTTGGGCACAACACTCGTCTACCAGAAACACCTGGCCAGGACTGAACCAGCCCAGGCAAGAATAGGAATCATTAGGGCTGTGATCCAAAGTAAGGCGTTGTACCCTCTCAAAGAGGGATGTGTGGTCACAGTTACAGGGGTTGGAAGAGATAAATTCATCTATGCCATGTTTTTGAGCTCTCTCTGTGTAAAATTGGGAGATAGGGGAATCCAACTGAGGCACATTTCCTCCCTTGGCATTGAGTTTCTGGACTTGGGTCAGGGGCACAGGCTTGTGTGACTGCCCCGTGGCCCGATACATGGCCTGAACCCACAGGATGAGGTCTTGTTCATCGTCACTTGCAAATGTCATGGTGTCTCCCTCCTTGACGGCGTTGAAGAAGGCTCAGCCACCCTCCAAACCTGGCTGGGGGGTCAGTGTAATCCACAGCGTAGCCATCAAATTGTAGAAGTTCCTGAGGCTCCACTTTCTTCTCTCGATAGCTGCACATGGCAAATGTGTACTTACTCACCTATACCAATACAAAATATCTTTTCTTCCATCTCTTCTAGACATTCTTACCAACGGGCCACAAATACCCAGGATGCTTCATGTTTTGAGGCTTATCCATTCGGACAACAAGATTGATTTTGAGGTCTTGGTCAAGGCAGTTTTTGGAGACTGTCCGTTTGTGCCACTCTGACTGCTTGGGGCTGATCGGGGTGGGATGGAGAATAATAACCCGCCCGAGCTCCTTGTCCTCCAAGGCCAGGACTCCTGTGTTCTCTGTGAACAGCTTCACCTTTACAGCTGGCCTTGCCTGGGTTGTGGAGAAGTCACCCTGGGTGCCCCAGGTTGGTTTAGAAGCCTCGGCCTGTCAATCTGTAGTTTCTCTCCTCCTTCCACCTCCATTGTCCAATATACGATGCAATTTGGAGCCAAGGATTTAAGGCCTTGGACTTCCATGATTACCACCTCCAACGAGAAAGACAGCACAATGTCTGACTTGGAGAGGTGGTCTCACTCTCCTCGCCCATGTCGATGATGGAAGCACTGTAGCTGCATTTGAGTTTCTGGAGCTTGAACTCCCTGCCTTTGGACACCGGCATGCTCTCCAAGTTGGCCATGCGCAGGTTGACAGATGACTTCAATTCCTCAATGTACATGTTTTCCATTTCTTTGGATACAAACTTGGGAAATTTGCAATCCCTGGCTATTTGGTTTGCCATTTGGAGACATCCATCCAGCTCTTGTCTGATCTGGGCTGCCTGCTCATCTGGATTGTCCAGCTGGCAGGCATTGTACAGGAGCTGATGTTCGAACTTCTTGATCCCAAGAATGTTCTGGAACATCTCACAGAGTTGCTCCTTGCTCTGAATCAGCTCAGAGGCTGTGCTGGCTGCCATCGGGCCTGCTGCTTCCGAGGGTCCTGTTCCCCACAGTAGATGGCATCAAACTTGGCCATCCAGGAGCTCAGCACAGTCTCCTTGCTGAGGCTGTCAATCTCCGCAGGCTGCCCACCCCCTTCTCAATGTGCTTCTTGAAGACCTCCCTGGAATCATTGGTGGAACAGCCTCCACTCTGCACCATGCGGGCCACACGGTCGCTCTTCAGGAACACCTCAAAGTAACTCTGCACAGCGTCCATGATCTGGGTTTCCCCACTAAGGAACGCCAGAAACCTGTCCTTGACTGTCTGCAACGTTTCCCGATCTGCTGCCGGCGAGCCATGTCGGTGAGCTGCTTGGCCTTTAAGGGGTAGGCGATGCAGCGCAGCCAGAGCACACAGCTGCAGCCTCTTCTTCCTCTCCTCCTCCCCTTTCTGCAAGCGCTCCAACTCTTCCTTCTGCTTCTCGCTCGCCACCGACCGGCTGGGGCTGGAGGGCTGGCCGCCGCCAGCGTCCCTCCCCGCCTTTCCCGCCCTCTCCCCCTGTCCCGGCCTCTCCCCCTTTCCCGCCCTCTCCCCCTTCCCCGAGCAGGCTCCCCCGC